ACACTGGGTTATGCTGCAATTGCAGACGTTTCAATTAGGTCATTTAAAGAAGAAGACACTAGAATATTTTGTCTTGGAAGATGGTAGAGTCTTCTGCAGAGATCAAATAAAGCAAGCTCGAAAGGCCCACCAGCATTCTTTCTGGAGGGGAAGCGGCCAACGTGGTGAAAGTCTCATTTCAGTTAAACAGGGTACTGTGTACTGATTGAGCATCTTTAGAGACTCCATGGAAAGCAGCAATTAATACGGCTCCGCTGTATAGGATAGCAGGACTTCTTGTTGGAACAGCTGTTTGTTGATCCAGCTGACATTCTCTTTCATCCACCCATCCATTGTTCTCCTTAAACAATAGCGAGATACAAATGTGAGTTTTACTCACTCTAATGAAAAGGGTAGAGTTTCTCTCCCTATAAATATTTTCAAAAGCCTTGATGATTCATGAGATTTGCACAAATACATTTAGAGCCGAAAGTAAGTGTATAAGGCGTTTGGAGAATACTCTGCCCCTGGCATTACAGGGAGGGGAAGGCACCTACATTAAAAATAACTCTGCTTGTGCTTTTAAGGCAAACACGCTCTTCATTACTCTCCTCTTTGCCCCACTCCCCCCCTGGAAAAAATAAACATCATCCAAAACAAAACCTGACATAAGAGAAGACTGCTTCTTGGGTGGGCATGAAGGCAATCTTGCCCTGAAGCAAGGTGACCTTTAAAATTTCCTTTCAAGCCCATTATTCACTGGCTTTATCTAAACATTGCTTATGAAGGGAGATAAAATATGGATGAGTTTTCAAATGAAGAAAGCAGCAAAGACTTACTGACTCTGTGTTGTTGCAAAAAGGAAATTGGATTTGTACCTTCATCTCCTGCATTTCTCATTTATTTCATTCAGGCATGCGGGGGATGTAGCAAGTATCAAATTCACCTATGAAGCTCATCTTGTACAATAAAAACCTGATGGCTTCATCTCTTTTCCTCTGCAGAAAGCTACGTTTCCCTTTCAAGTTACTAGTAGTTCTTCATGCTCTTCTGTTAGAGAAGATTCCAAACTTTAAAAAATGTCGCTCTGGGCATTTTTCTTTTAGCGATGCTTCTGAAAAGAGGGGCTCAAAGTACACATGAGATTAGACTCAAACACCTGTGGATTTCCCCAACATTTCCAAGGTATCATATCACTAAACCCCTGTTTTGTCTCTGTCCTTCGCCAAGACACTGAGTCCCACTCATTCCAGCTGGCTGTTGCTTATGATTCAGGATGCGGGTTGAACACCACCTCTTCAAAGATCTTTCCTGACCACCCCAATCTAAAGAGCCACTTGTTGCTATCACATCCCATTGTTCCAAGCCTCTACCTAGAATTTGTTACCATCTTCTTTATTTATTTAATGTTCATATCTCTCAACTGAATGTATTCCATGAGAACAAAGGTCAAGTCTGCTTTATTCACCTTTACACACCCAGCAGCTACAACAGAGCTTAGGGATAGTATGCACCCAATTAATATTTGTTGGATGAATGAATGAATGGTGCCCTCAACAGAAAATACACTGCAAATGTCCATGAATAATCCATATTATACAAAAAACGTGCATGGAAAAATATAGACAAATATTAATTACTTGGCATTCCCAGGCCAGGGAGGAACCTGCAACCAAGGTATGTGCCCTTGACTGGAATCGAACCCAGGACCCTTTGGTTGCAGGCAGATGCTCTATCCACTGAGCCAAACCAGCGAGGGCTGTAACTAACTCTTTACTTTGCCCTGGATATCTCTGCTTAGATGGCATATTCAAAACTCAGTTCCTGATCTTTCCACACCTGCATACTTCCTCTACTCAGTTTTCTTTATTTCACTCAATGGCAACATCACCCCTTCAGTTGATCAGAAAAGAACTTGGAGTCACCCTTAGGTTCCCTCTATCTCCTATATCCCCTCTTGGCCCTTAGTTCAAAATACATCTAGAATATAAATATTTCTCACTTTCTCTACTGCTGCCATCTTGGTTCAATCACCATTATCTCTTGTTTGAATTATTATAATAGACCCTACAGTATTCTACCTATTTTTGCCCTTAGCTCCTACAGTCTAATTTGACATGCACAATGTTAAGATATATGTCACATCATGTCTCTCTCCCACTAAAAACCCTCTAATACCTTCTCATCCCACTCAGAGTAAAATTCAAAGCCCTTATAGTAGTTAATGATCTCCTCAGAAAATTCATCCTCTGAGAATTTGTCTTTACCTCACATGACCATTTCTGTCCTTCAGTTGTCTGATCTTTTTATGGAAGGTCATTTTTAGAACACTTCAAAAGCTTTGAGGTTAAAAGACTATATGGAACTTTCTAGAAAAAAAATATGTATATCTTCTGAAATATACCAAAGATAATTATCAATGAGCACCAGGATTATAAAAACACAACCTATATCATTAAAATGATATGCTTTTGAAAAACTATTTTCAGTCTTTTCATTGAGGAAAAGGTTTATTTTAGCCTTTGGAATTGGAGAGACCAGATTCACATGTGTAGCACTTATACTCTGGGAGGTTCAGTTGTGCTGGAACTGTGAAATGGAGGTAACAATACCTTGCAAGATGAATGCAAAAATTAGAGAAAGCATATGGAAAGTTCTTTGCATAGTGTAGGTGTTTTGTAAATGGTCATCAATTCTTATAACACTAGTGTTGATGGTAATATGATATTCAAAATATGTTTAGTTTACACACTAAAAATCTATAGACTTTTTCTTTCACTTTTAAAAAATGTGTACGTATTACTCATCCAGCTACTCTCTGGTTGTATTCATTAGTATTTGTCCTGGAGAATGTCTTGGCATAGCAGATTATTGATGACAATGCTCCCTGTTCTACTTTTTGTTTGGAAGCAATATTAATTTATATGCTGATTAACTAGGGGGGCTGGTCACCTTACTCCTCTGCCTTTGTCATAGATCTCATTTATTTGTAATCAATTTTTTCTTAACCCTTACACTCCCAAGGAGATGGTACATGAGTACATTAATTATTTGCTTCATACTTTCATTCATATGACAAACAGCTAATGGACAGAAGCAAAAAAAATAGGTAAATTACAATTTCTTTTGGGATCAAGACTGTTTCAAACTTGCAAAGATTAATTTTGTGAAAATTCTTTCTTACTAATAATATTGTGCATATGTTAATAAGATATGAATATAATGTATATTGAAGGGTCATTAAATAAGTATGAATAAAACTAGGAGGATAGCATATAATAAAAGTAGGGTTTTTTTCTATATAAAATGCATATATAAAATTAAAGTAAAAAGAGGACCTCTCAGACTGACTGTATATTTTTCTCTGGCTCTGACCTACTATTTAGTTGGTCCAAGTTTTGAGGATACATTCGTATATTGATGCCCTTTAACCCTGAAGTTTCAAATTATAACACTGTTGAAATTCTCTATTAAATAATAATTTTATTACATTGTTTACCAGTGTCCTTCGGTGGTGGAGTGGGGGTATGGTATTACAAATACTGATATCTTGAGATCCTGGGATATTTTACAGTAGAAACCGTTTATGGATATAGCTCAATGTTGACCATGATTCTGAGCTTTACAATGAGAGTAGATCGTCACAATTTTTCCTAGATCATCTGGTAGTCCTGGGAACAATTACCAACAGTTCTTATAATTAGTGACTGTTCCTTATGTTTTTGTCACTAAAACTTTATTATGAGTTGCAATGACAAAATACTATTCAGAGAAGTGGAAGAGTTACTAGATGGTGATTTGAAATAAAGAATAAGAGTAAGGAAGGTAAGAAGGCTAAGGAGGAGTAGAGAGAGGGAGGGAGGAAGGCAAAAAGAAAGGAAGGAAGGAAACAAGGAAGGAAGGAAAGGGGAAGGAAGGGAGGGAGGGAGGGAGGGAGGGAGGGAGGAAATGTGTGAAAGAAAATAAGTGAAAATGAATAGAAATGAAAAATAATAAAGGAAGGAAAGAAAGTAACAACCATTTTTTACTCTGTCTCAGTCTAAGTATAACACATGTTATTGGATCCTCACAGCATTTCCCATTTGATAGATGCAAACCTGTGTGGTGCCCATAGAAGGAATATTTTATTCCAAGGGATCACTGATACACTGAGTATAAAGTTACTCTAAAGCCTCCACACTTTGTTTTTTCATTGGTTTTTATTTTTGGCTTTGTTTTCTGTCTTTGCTCCATAACCATTATGAGCACACTCTGTGGGCTAATTTTAGCCACAAGGATTTAATGTCACTTTTAACTACAGATGGCTAGGCAATTAGGTAATTTTGTTTCTCTAGTGGCAGCCCATCAGGGTAGTGTGATAAAACCACTGTAGCAGGAGATCACTCACAGAGCCAAGGGCTCTGATCATTTTTCTTGTTGGGCACAAGCTTCCTTACTGAAAACAAAAACAAAGAGGCAGGATCCCATTGTGGGTGAGACTCCAGCTCAGGATTCAGACTGACTGGGTTTGAATCTTAGCTCTCTTTTACAGTCCAGGATAGTTCATACATCTTATTTCTGGGGCAGAATGGAGAAGTATAAGCAAGGTAAGTTAAGAGAAATATGATCATCTCTTTTCCATCATTTTTTAAAATTCCACCACATTACTTTATCTCCCTTTTTATTAAAACAACAACAAAAACACACATTTTACCAGAGATCTCTCAACTGAGGATTAAAAAAAAGGTGGTGCCAATTCCATATGGTTTAAAAAATGCCTTGGAAAACAAGTTAAATTAAAGACGAAAATTGGCAACTGCCATCAAGTCAGGTCAGTCCTTTTGGAATGGGCAGGTTTTAATTCCTGAACAGTCAGGTTAGGACGGAAGCCCTGACTCACTTGACCACAGTCTTTTTTTTTTTTTATTGACAGGGAATCAATACTAAGAGCTGAACATCCAGAACTGGGTCTTCTAGGAGACCTGACTTGACATCTTATTCTGTGCAAGTGAGTGGAAGTGGTGAAGAATGTGAAAGAAAGCCTTGGTTTGAATATTTTCCAAAGGTAGAATTTATGAGGTAATTGAAATCCTTTTTGACAAGTATTGCCTATGCATGCCAACGCTGAGCCATTTACTATAAATTAGAGTGAAATCTCTGTGATCAGAGCTGCTCACAAGGGAACCTATTACCAGTAAGGGAAGAGGAGAGGTTGTGGTAGCCAGCTCATTTGGCACAATGGGAAGTGATCCAGCATTGTTATTCCAAGTTAACACCCCTTTCCAAAGGATAGGACTTTGCACATGCTATCAACTTTTTACTCACTGCACTTCTGAAATAAAGAATTTTCTTCAATTGCCAGGTAAGGAAGAGTGGAACTTAGAGGTTAAGTTCAGGTTATCGTGATGGGTTAGGAATTCGGGCTGGAATGCGGTCTTCCGGATGCCCAGTATTTATCATTTTACACCCTTCAACATACTCTCTGATGTGAAATGCTGATGACTTCAGCATAGGAGAATCTATGAGGCTTCTCTACGGCTTGGAAAATTAGAACTTGTTGCTCTCAGAAGTCAGAAGTAGACAGTTCTGAGCCTGGGCATTTACCACTTGGAGTCAATAAATCCACACCTTCATTCTTCTTCTTTTCTTCTTTCTTTTTTTTTTTTTGTTTTGTTTTTTGTTTTGGTTTAAGCCTCACCCAAGGATATTTTTCCAATGATTTTTTTTTTTTTTAGGGAAAGAGTATGAGAGAGGGAAAGACAGAGAGAAACATCTATGTGAGAGAAACACATCCATCGGTTGCCTCCTGCACAAGCCCTGACCAGAGCCTGGGCCGGGGAGGAGCCTGCCACTGAGATATGTGCCCTTGACCAGAATAGAACCTGAGACCCTTTGATCCACAGGCCAACATTTTATCCACTGAGCCATACCAGCTAGGTCCATTCTTCTCCTTCTAGGAGAGAAATCCTGCACGAGATCATGGCAGCATTCTCCAGTTGTTTCTCTCACAATTCAAGAGAAGAAAAAAACTACATTTAGTCTATAGTTAAAACACTATATAAAGCCCTGTTTTGAGTCACCTCATTTCGCATCTTGAAATGTATGGATTTTCGTAACATTTAAGCACTCACTGTTTTCTCAGTTTCATGTGGAATTATTCATATATATCACTCCATTCTCATACAATATTTTTTGTTAGTGGTGCTGGGTTTTTTTGTTCGTTTAGTTATTTTGTTTTTTTCTCCTTTTGTTTTTGTTTTAACTTCCAAGTTAATCCCTGATCAACTTCCTGATATTAGTGACAGGTTCTGTCATTTCAGGTGTAGTATATTAAGCATTACTGAAAACAGCTCCATATCAAACTGACCTCCCAGGAGATGACGGTAAAGCACAACTCATTGGTTTAATCATTGCATTCCACAAAGGGAGATGTCACTTAACTAGCTTTCCTCTCAGTGCCAGGAAATTGGCTCAAAGTATTTTTCTTCAGATAAGTGAACATGCTTGTCATAGCTTCCTATGCCTGTTAAATCTTCCTATGAGATATTTTAAAGAGAAATATGTAAATATTTTGACTACTTGTGCCATTCTTTTCAGACTGCTTTGCAGATTATATATGGGTCTCTATATGAAACAGGAAGGAAAAGCAAGTAGAATTTTCTTAATGTAGCATTTTTCATTAATGGAGACAGAAAGACTAAAGGAACAATTTTTTATAATGGAGTCTTAATGTAAATAGCCAAAAAAGAGGAATATATACTCCGTGAGCTGGCCTCCAAGCCAGCTGATGGAAGAGTATTATGAGTCTCTAGGACAGCATGTCCTCTTACCTTTTCTCCCTGACAGAAGATAAATAAACCAGGGCTTAAGAGTAGAATATTTGCCAAAGACACATTAGTGGAGACTTGGTATGTAGCAAGACTTTTATGGGTTTGCTACATCTTACATGAACAGAGGTCTGTAAACCACCCTTTAATCTTAGAAATATGTTCTTTACAACCTATAGTTAGCAGATGTGATATATTCTGTACATAGATGGGGTTGGGAAAAGTGAGGGAGTTTTCCCCAAGCAGTTCTCATTAAAGTCTTTCTTTCAATCCAGTTATTTAATTTTTGCTTTTTTCATGATTATTATTGAAAGAACTAGAGGCCCGGTGCACAAATTCGTGCACGGGTGGGGTCCCTTGGCCTGCTGGCAATTGGGGACAATTGGGGTGGGAGTGCACTTGCATTGAGCGTCTGCTCCCTGGTGGTCAGTGCGCATCATAGTACCAGTCATAATGGTTGCTTAGGCTTGTATATATAGATAGATAATATAATGTTGATGAAATTTGAAGCCGATATCATGTAATAATTGTACTGGTTCCAGTCATCTGAGGTAACACAGTGGCAGATGTTTTTAATTGTCAAAGGACCATATTTTTCAGTGGAATATATTTCATTCAATTTGGGGTTATAAATATAAATGTATAATTTCACTGAGGAAAAAATTATATCTCTAATACTTGCTCACAGCTGCAGGGCTGAATAAAACAATGAGCCATGGCTCCTGATTTGAAGCAACAGAAACCATCTCTGGCCTTAACCAAAAGATGGCAAGGATGCCCATAATTGAAAATTGGCTGACAGTCTGAGGCTTAGACAATGGGGAGTTGAGTCCAGGCTGCAGAAAGTTCAGTCAAAGTCATGGTATAGCCATAATCTGGTCCATGGGCTCTTGCTTTGGTTGGAATCATCTGAATCTCCTTACATTTCCTCATTCTTTTTATTACTGGTCCAAGGTTCAGAGGTCCAGAACCAATGCCTTATCAACAAATCTTACCTACTGGCTTGTTCTGTGATCCAGCCAAGAGTGTAGAGGAAGGTCCCAGCTTCTGTAGTTTGAGATAGAAGCAGCAATAGTAGACAAGCACTGGGAATTATCTTCTTATTATGTTGGCACACAGTGGAAAACTAATAAAAATAGTGAGAAGTAATGAGGTCAGCCAAAATTGACAAATGCTACTCCACATAAGTATTGGCTTGGAAGTCATGATGGGTTTTTAGACTGGACTTTATCATTGCGAACTGTGAGACCTTGGAAAAGTCCTTTGTCCTCTCTTCCTCAGTCTTTATAATGTCAGGGGCATCAGGGTGGGTGGGGGGGGTGGGTTCTAGATGAAATAAGTGAAGGAATTAAGCAAGAAAAACCCTTCATAGACACAGACAGATGGAGGCAGATAAAAGGGGGTAAAGGGAGGATAAATGGTGATGGAAGGAGACTTGAGTTTGGGTGGTGAACACACAACACAATATACAGATGATGTATTATAGGTACACTTGAAATCTATATAATTTTAGTAACCATTATAATCCCAATAAAGTCAATAAAATATTTTTAAGATTACAAATTTATTGTAGATCCGGAATGGGAAGTAAATGTTATTTACATGGTCTTTCCTCTGGTTTCCATAGCAGACATCACTAATCAATCACTGTATTCCTTCCTCTGGAGATATGACCTCAGTATCCTTCATAGAGTGCTCTGGCAGCAACTACTGAATTATTAGAGTTGGAAAATGAGATTAAACCTTGTAAATATCTCTGAACTAGAGGTTAATTATATTTCCTTGAAGTGTTAACATTCTTTAAAGTTCCAGGACTAAGAAGTATTATTAGTTGAATTGTTTTAGAAAATTAGAAAGAACCTAGATCATGTGGAAATGGAATTATAAAGTAGCTAATCCTGTAATATCTGATTAAAGAGGAAGAAAATATTTTTAAACTTGAATGGCTTGTATTTTGAATGTTGAGATGTTAAAAGAACACTTTGCTCCATTGTGGAATGTGCTAGTCATCCCCTGCCATTAATCCAAGAAAGTCCTCAGCTCACAAAGACTATTCTTTGAACAATAAAAAGTAAGATATTGGTCTGAGGCTTAAGTGATAAACTATATTATTGATGATATATATATAAATGTAATATTATATTGCTTATGGTAAAGAAATTACTGTTAGCCACAATTTATGTTGTTAATGGTAAAGGAACTACTATTTAAGTAGTCTTTTAAAGTTTGTAGAAAACAGGATCTAAAACCGCTCAAAAAAATCTATCCTAGAATTTTCTAGGCTATGCTACTAAACATAATGGCAAGTTTAGCTATTGTGACCAAGTACAACATATTTATTTAGTACCATTTTCATTTATTAATATATTTAATAGTATGTATTTTGTATTTGGAGATCTTTAAAAATATCTCAAGCTACTATTCAGACTAGATGGATGTGCAATTTAGGACAAGTAACACCAGATGGAATGACTATAGTTTGCAGAAATTGCTGGTTTCCAATGACTACAGCATCCCTTCTCCACCCAGTAGGTTTCCATTGTCTTCCCTATAACTCTGGGCTGTGTTTGTATTCATCTGCACATCAGAGTTTCCTTTTGGAATGATAATAATTTGTAATATGTCCTTGAATCATGCCAGGAAAATATCTTTCTAATCCAAGGAAAAATATATATATATGTATTTTATAAATGTGACACTTTAAAAAAATATATATCTTTATTGATTTCAGAGAGGAAAGGAGAGGGAGAGAGATAGGAACATCAATGATGAAAGAGAATCATTGATTGGCTGCCTCCTGCACACCCCTTACTGGGGATTAAGCCTGCAACCCAGGCATGTGCCCTTGACCAGAATCGAACCTAGGATCCTTCAGTCTGCAGGACAACCCTCTATCCACTGAGCCAAACTGGCTAGGGCCCAAGGAAAATATTTGGGTCCATGAAACGACAAAAAGTCTTATAAAACAGATTAGGGGCACTAGCTTTCTGTAGGGTCCCTAGAACAAAGTTAGGTTCACAAGCTAACCTCCCTCTGTACCTGTGGTAGATTACAAAAAGACCACACATCTTCTCATTCCTGTATGCATGCCCTTTAACAATGCAATTTTGCAACTTCTTTCTTCAAGAGAGGTAGAGTCTATTTCTCTACACCTTGAATCTGGGTAGGACACATGTCTTGCTTTGGCCTAAGGGTTCTTATCAAATATAATGCAAACAGAGGCTTGATAAGTGCTTGAGCTTTGTTGCTCTTGGAAAGACGGAGCCCACACCATGTGAATTAGTCTACACTAGCCTTCTAGATAATGAGAGACACCTTAGTTCCATCACTCTTGTTAACATCTTGTGAATCGTCAACAATGTCAGTGAGGCCTTTCAACACCTTTCAGCCCTATCTGAGCTGCCTCACTATAAACTGCCCAGTTAATTCTCAGAATCATGAGAAATAATCTTTGTTGTTTCAGTATGTTAAGGCTTGGGGTGAATTTTTAAGGAGAAAAATATAGCTCCTGCCCTTGCTTGTATTCGCCTCACCA